TCCTCTCGCACAGAAGCAGCGGAGATAGGAGGGTAGTACCGATATTGCGTAACTGTCAAAGGTCAAGGGAGGAGAAGGGACCAGGAGGAGTAAGCAGACGGAGGGAAACGAAGGACGGGAGAAGGAAAACGAGAGGGGAGAGGGAACTGAAGAGGAAGAGATAAGGGGGCGGGGCGACGACGAGGAGGGGGCCAGCTTCAGGCTTAGGGGGTGTCTGCCTAAGAAACACCGCCGCGAGGCAGCGCCCAACGGTGAAGGTGTCCTGAGAGCGCGAGGATGCCATTGCCACTGCACGTTGCCCTCAGAGCGAGAGCAGCTTTCAAGAGGGAGGATGGGGCAGGAGGCGGAGGAAGGAGGGAGCAGGAGGAGGGAGATGAGGGAGGACCAGAAGTAAACAACAAGGAGGAAGAGGAAGAGGAGACTTAGCTTGACTTTGGTTGGCCCCAAAGGCAGTTCAAAGAAACAACTAACCACCCTCGTCCGAACCCTCCTCAAAATCGGCGTCCTCAGATGTGGCCGACGGCCGACGATAACTGGATCGCTTGCCGACCCATCGCGAGCACTCGCGGGCGGTCCTCGAGCGTCAGCCCGAAAACTTTGAGCACTTCGGTGCCCAGACAAACAGTGTCCACACCCGTCGCGGTAAGACGACGCAGCGCGATAACAGCCACAACTGCGAAGTGTCCTTGTTTCGCACCCCTCCCCCCCGAAACCAAAGTTCAACTGTCCACGCTTTGCCCCTGCCCTGTGGCCTGCCGCCCGCGCCCGTCAACTTTGAATTCTGGGGACAGGGGGGCATGTATTATGGTCCGACGTGTTTTGTTAACCCGAGGTCTTCGAGAGACGCGCGTGGGCACTTCTAGTCCACCCGCCGCTCGCCCCGCCCACCCACCTTCCCCCGCCCCCAAGTCGAACGGGACAGGGCAGAGTAGCTGGAGGGGGCCGCTGCTGCGTCAGCCTGCGCCTGCATGCACCCTCTGACTTTTTAACCTGACAAGGGCCAGCCGCACGCGCACTGGCCAGGAGCTTGAAAAACGCAAACGGCTAACGATGGAGACGCTCTTCGACCCACAACCTCGCTTCGCGAGCGGGATCGTCGTCGTCCGAGTCGCCGGGGTAAGGGAAACCAACAAGGCTTTCCCACAAGGCCAAATCAGCCTGGGAAACAAGAGGGGGAGAATGCTCCCGCCCCGCCCGCCCGCCCCCGCTCCCGAACCACTCCCCGCCCCAGAGGTCCCAGGGAGAGGTGGAAGCGGCGGCAATAGAGCCGCCCCACAGACACTCCGCTGTCGATGCAAAGCTGGAAGGCCCAAAAGGAGGCCCGACTTGGGGTGGCAGCCCATGAGAAGATTCTGCAGCCGATAATACCTGGAAGCTTTGACCAGAGTGCCCGCTCGGCGCCTAAACGGCTTGCGTTCCTCGGAGGGCCCTCGGCTGCGTAGCATGGCATATGCCCCACAAATCGAGCAGAGCAGCACAAGCCCCGCGCGGTGCACGACATGCTGAGCAGGGCTCTCCGAACATCTCAACTGCCGCAAGACAGCTCGAGACTTCGCCGACCTGAGGCAAATCATGCAGCGAAATCTCCTGTCCATATACGCAGCCGCAGGACCGAAACGAGAATGCGGCCTGGGAGGGCCCAGCCCACCTTCGATGGTGCCGATCGCCCTCCCAAGCACGACTGCCCGGGCATCTGGGGCCGCGACCGAACCGATCCTAGCCGCGACGCGCGTGCAAAACTTAGCAGCCATCTTCACCGCCTGGATGGATGACCTGCGCGCCTCGCGCAAACTTACACTATCCGAGTGCATGGCGGCTCATACTTTGGCAGATTCGTCAGCCTTGGCGTTCCCGAACCGTTGCCAAGGTGCGACTCGCCCTTCAATCACCGCCGAGTGCGGAGTGTGGGCCTTGACGTGAGAGACCTCCACCGCCTCCGAACCCCGATCCGCCGCCAACCTCCAGACTTCCCTCCGGAATATCGCCATCAGCCGTGCCGGCGCCAATCCCTGGGCGCCAAACATCGGCTAACGGCTCGCAACCAGTGTAAAACTTCAGCTGCGCACCCATATACCTGAAGGCCCTGAGGAAGCTCAACGGCTCCTCAGCAGGCGCAGATTGGAAGAGGGACGGCAACGGCCCATGCATGCTGGCGACCTCGTGCCAAGAAAAAATCGAGAGAGCATTATCCCCAACCGCGTCGCCTGAGGCGGCTGTGCCGCCCATGCATGCCCGATCCTTCGCCGAACACATGCGCATCGAGGAGCAAGTCGTCAGTCCGCAAAGTCCAGACAACTCGCTCTTCCAGGTGCGGGCTCGGCAGTAGCCAGGACGGGTCAGGGGCGAGAAATCTGGCCCAGCGCAACGAGACGTCAGCGGCCGACTGGGCCAGCTCAGGCATCTGGCCAGCCAGCTGGTAGTCTGCCTTATACTCGCGGCGAAAGAAATTACGGGCGGGGCGTCCGTAAAATCGGCGCCACGTCGTGCCCCGACTCTTGCAAATCAATCAATATGGGTCGACCGCGCCGTCAGCATTGCACGGCCTCTCCTGGGACCAAAAACACACCGCAAATGAGCGCCTCGGGCGCCCCTGGTGCCCGGGGGGCCAGTCAGGGCCTCGAGAGGGCGGGGGGGGGGGAAGGGGCCTCAGGGGCCCCAGGCGCGGAGGGTGAGGACAGAGCGAGGCCCAACGCGGGTGCTTAGCCAGAACTTGCTGCCACGTCCAGCGCCCAGTGGCCTCATCAGCCAACTTTCCTCCATCCCTGGACGAAATCTCCTCTATCGAAACGGGCCCTCGGTGGGTCTGCCCACGGAGCGGGTCGGCCAGCTTCCATCCCAAACTGATCATCGTGCCCACAAGGGCCGACGCGGGCCCCCGAATGTCAGACCACACCCTGGATACTGGGATAACCGATAAACGAGCCCACGCACCGCTCAGAAGACGTGCAATGTCAGATCTTGATGCCCAACCGTCCCAGAGCGCATGCAGCCACAAATAGATGGGCCCACGGTTGCACTCGAACGCGGGGTCGACCTGGCGGCCTGCCAGCATCATACCCGTGTGCCTGAAAATGCATCCCGCTCGTGCCAACTGCCTAGCCTTGAGGAGCTGCGCGTTGTTGATCCCGTGGGCCCCGACCGCCCGGAGCATCCCAGGCTTGAAGCCCGTCTGGACCAACTTGACTGTTTTGCCCCCCGCTTTGGCCAGCCGCTTATAACGTTGAACCCTGGAGCCCATCTTCCCAACACGCTGCACCCGAACCGCATGAAGGATCCGATGGCCGCCTCCGATGTCCGGCCCGAGATTCCGAATGGACCTGGTGAGGAAACGAGCCGAGCGGGGTTCGACCTTACGAACAACGTGCCGGATATCCTGACCAACGATCGTCTGGTGCTTTTTAGGCAGGGAGATAGTGAGGCCGCCGCACTTGGCCAGTTCAGCTGCGAGTAGGTCCTCCGCCCCTCTCAGGTCGAAAACCACGTCCCAGGCATCACCAACCCTCTGCAACTGCAAATCGTCAACAACGATCGCCAAATCGACAGACGGGCACCGAGCAACAACCATATCAGCAGGAGAAAGAAACACCAGACGCAAGAGAGATGTCGCACAGCTGCAGCCGGCAACGATCGTACGATTCGTCGAGACGATCTCGGTCGCAATCATTTCGAACATCACCATCCGACCGAGGGCGTACGTTGCCAGCAACAAATGCATAATCTTGCCGTGAAACCTGTGCTTCTTGGCACACGCCGCGAGCACATGATGGGGAACGTGCTCGTAAGCCTTGACGAGATCAAATAGCTTAGACCCCGCTGCTTTGCCCTGATCCCTGGCCAGCTCCGCTGTGAAACTCTGCTTCCAAACACAGATATCACAAGAGGCTCCGGAATCGCCGAACCAGCAGTCGCTAGGGTGGTCACGTTCCAATGGTCCAGCGACTTTCCAGCGGGCCCAGCGGGACCACATTCGAAGCGGGGATGGGAAGACCCCGATGGGTCGATCTCCCCCGTCAGGCGGTGGCTCTGGCAGAAGGGCAATAAGCAACAGCGCCCAGCACCTGGGCACGTAGCACAGCCTCTGCACCCAGGTGTCCAGGAAAATCTCAACAGCGCTGTCGTCCAAGAAAGACCAGTGCCGAGGGTGCAAGCCGCAGACGCCGACCGCCGTGTGCGTGCTGTACGTCCTAGCGAGGGCGAGGAGGTCCTCGTGCGTGGGGGGTTCTAGCTCAAACCCATCTTTGCACCAGCCGGAATCAGGATCGGGAAACTCCAGACCAACGCCCCGGTGCTTATGCCAGCCTTGAGCCCGAGCTTCAGCCTCCGCCATAATCCCAAGAGGAGCACCATCGGGTCCAGCGTAGAGAGACAGCCCAGACACGACCCACTTGGGGACCTCCTTGGTGAACCTGTGGCCCAAGCGGGCCCCTCCAGACAGGGCATCAGAGACCCACTCCCTCCAAGCACGGGCCCGCTCCGAGGCCGCGTGGGACTCATGCTCCAGGGCCCACTTGTGGACCTGCCAAATCAACTCATTAAGCTCAGCCTCGCTGGATGGGTTGACGGCCACAATACGCAGCCTCCAAGACTCCCAATGCAGGAGGAAGAAGCAGGAGGCGGAGGAGAAGGCCTGCTCGGTTGCTACCAGCTGCGCGCAGGAGTGACCACGGGCAAAAGTGACCTTTGGTGCGCGACTTTCGGGCGCCGCGGGGAGGCCAAACCCGAGCGCGCAGGCCGCCGCTGCTGCATCGCGTCCGGCACGCATGGGGGCCCCGATGTGATCGCACCCGAGGCCACTCTGGCGAAACATTACGCACTGTTGTGCGCTCTTGTGGGCCCCGATGTGATCGCACCAGAAGCCACTCGGGCGCACTCATTGCGCACCATGGTGCGCAACAGATGCATCGCTTCTGCACCAGGAGCCACTCTGGCAGAAGCCATTACTTGTAGCCGCTGTTATGGCGCCCCCCTTTACGTGTGGAGCCCAGACCGGCACGGCCGTCCTGCTCAGGATGAAGTCGAAGACGTAGTTGAACAGCCAGATCACGGTCCTCGCGCAGCTCTTCGCGCGGCCACGAGGGCAGGAGGAGGAGGCGGAGGATGAGAAGCTGGCGGAGCAGGAGGAACCGCAGGCGGAGAAGGCAAAGGACGAGCAAGCGACAGAAGGTTTGGCTGGGCCGGCGGAAGAATCCTGACTCGCACGTCTGAAGCCCAGAAACGGCCACCGCCAGCCGACAATTGAGGGACATTTCCGTCTTGTCTCGCCAAAGCGTCGGAACTGTGGGCCCTGCTCCTCCTTCACCAACGCCAGCTCCCCAGATTGCCACGCCGAGCGAGGGGACCTGGCAGACATAGAACATTGCTGGCCAGGCGTGGAGAGAGGAGGGAGTAGCGGGATGGCATGGAAGAGGGGAGGCGGGAAACAAACTTGCACACCGGGCCCTTGCAGCGCGGCCCAACTACCATCGGATTCCTGGCTCCTGATGGCACGTGTTCTCCGAGGGCTGCCCTCAACCGAGACCAAGCGACTCCTAGAGCACCCGCTCCAGGAGTCGCAACAGACACGAGGAGGAATAATGGAAAAAACTGTCATTTCCTCCTCCTATTCCTCCTCCTCCTCCTCCTCCTCCTCTTCCTCTTCTTCCAACCCCTCCTCTTCCTCTTCCTCTTCCTCCTCCTCCTCCGCCCCCTCTTACCCCTTCTTTCTCCTCCTCCCGCCTCTTTTTTTTTTTCTCTCTCTCTCTCTCTCTCTCTCTCCCCCTCCTCATCTTCCTGCTCCTCCTCGTTCGGAAAGGGCCGCCCTGGCCCATGCCTCAACTTCCCCTCCTTGTGACAAACGCGCACCTGCACCCGAAGATAGGACAGGACAGCGGCCCGCAGGGAGGCGGTGCGGTTTCTTCTCCACGGCAGTGCGCCAGACCGGAAACTTGAGCAACGCAGCGTGCCGCCCTTTATGGGTGCAGACGGTGTGGGGGAAGAGGAGGCCCGCCCCCTGAGGCGCGCCGAGTCCACATGTTGCGCCTTTTGCGAAGGCGCCCTCACACCGCCAGGGCCCGCGTTCCAGCGTACCGCTTTGCGGTCAGGCGCATTCGGTCCTCGATGTATTTGACTCCCAGGCTGTGCGAGAAAAAATCTCTAGCTCACAAGCGGTTGAAGCCTAGCCATGATTAAATCGGCAGTGGCAGCAACAGCATGGAGAGGGAGAGGACGGGGAGGAGGAAGAGGAGGACGACGACGACGAGGAGAAGGAGGAGGAAGATCATGTGGAGGAGGCGGAGGAGGAGGAGGAGGAGGAGGAGGAGGATTTTCCAAGGGACTTTCTCAAATCGACGCTGTCGGAGCTCTGGGGAGCTCAGGAAAACTTCATGTGAGTGGCCTCCCCTGAAAAGCGCGCGAAAGAACCCACCTACCCTTCTTGGTCGGTGGGGTGCGTTCCTCCGAAAGGCGTCCTACCCTGCAAAGCACTGCGCCCAAAATTCACGCACATCCAATACGGCTCGCAGAAAGCGGCTTCGTGGGACTCGTGCCCGCACCTGGTCCCAAAGGCGAGCTGGGTGTGGTGCGGGTGGCTGGGTGGGGGCCCTGGGCGCTCACTGGAAAGCCAAACGTCCTCAACTGGCTTACAGGAAAGGAGGCTGACCGAACTACGGCAGTCGAGACAACGCCACCTGGATTTTGTATTACAGAGGGTGTGCGACGAGCTCCTCTTGGCGGCGGCTAAGGCCGAGGGTTCGGATCTCATCTCGGTTCTCTCGACCTGTCTCGCCGCGGGCTCACGAGTCTAATTCTCGAAGGCACTTAGGGTGGCGCGAATTACAATATTTCTAATCAACGCGGATATGGCGACAGCCTATTTATAACAGGAGAGGCGGGCTGGGGAGATCTGGTGGGGCTCCGATCTGCGGCCTCGTTGCCGCACCGCGCGTAGAAAGGAACTCCTTTTCTCAGAAACTCGTCAAGATTGAGGTGGCTGTTCATCCGCCTGACTTAATCTCTGCCGTCTCCTCTGTCAACGATGGCTGCGCCAATCTCAACCCACAGGTCACCCATAGTACTCCAGCTCATCCAAGATTTTAACAACACCTCCGAAGTCCGTCCAGTACTGAAGGCTACCGCATGCGTTCAAGAGCGCTGAAATGAACCCTGAGAACTCCGCTCTATTGATGGTCTGCCTCGGGCCCGCGAGCGGGGCGCAAGCGCCTCCTCTCACTCCGGGGTTCTCTGCGTCTCTGGCATCGAAACGCGACCCGAAACCGTCCGCGCCTGTGGCATTTAGCATCACCCGGCTCTGATCCCCCGCTGCCGTCGCCACATGTGGTCAGCGGCTGGCCGAGCGGGGACTCTATCGGCGCCGCGTCCAACTGCCCGGGCCTTTCCTCGTGCACGGCGTTTCGCGCTCTGGCGGCGTCGTCCAGGATGTCGGGGGGAGGCCTCGGAGCCAAGAGCACGGGGCATGCGGTGCACCAGCCTCCGCCATTGTCGCTGGGAGCTCGGACTCGGCGGAGGCCGCGTGCTTCTCTCTGTCGGGGCAGCCCCCCCAAATGCGGTGGAAATCACCAGCGCTGGCGCCGCAACTGCACTTGTCTGAACCAACTAGGTCGCCGCAAAAGGTCGCGTCTCCCCGCTGGCGTCTAGGTGCCCGCCGCCATGGCGGCGAGGCGGGCGTTGGCTGAGTATAGTGTATCGGGCCTTTTGGGAGAGGTAACCATTTTCCTGGAGACGCCCTGGCTGCGCATAATCGGCAGCCCCCGCACTTCGTGGCCAGGCCGCGAAGCGCGGAGACTGCCAGCCATGCGCGCTGGGGACACACCAGAAAAATGCCAACCTTCCCAAAAGAGCACCAACTCACAGCAGAACATTGGAACGCTGGAACTTCAACAAACACTCAGAAACATCAACAGCAACATCAACGTCAACAGTATCATGTAAACACCAACACCATTGTCAGCATCATTCTCACTCAGAAAACAATGGCAAACCTCTGCGCATCAAGTCTAGCAACATCGAATCCCCGCTGGGGGGGCGCACAGCGGGTGGTTGTTAGTGGGGGCTTCCAATATTCCAGCGTGTTGCCACCGAAAACATTATCCCAATTTCATGGCTTGGAAAAGAATAGGGCCGACGTTTTGGCAGGGGAACATATCGCGCACGGGGGTCCAAATTTACGCATTCATTGTTCTATTATTGTTCACTTACACGGAACAACAAATTATTTCAAACGCCGAACGTGACCCCGAAGGGGTCGTTGGATCTTCTGTCCCCTCCACCTCTCCCTCCGCAGCCGATGCCACATAGGTTCGAAAGTCCAAAGGAATCGCAATGACCGAACCAGAGAGTGACGATGATTTTGTTCCAGAGAATCCGATAGATTTTGTTTCTGGTGAGCATACAGCCTTGGTCCGAACTGGAGCTGGTCGCGCGGCCAAGGATAAGGCAGTCTTGTTTCAATTGTACAATCTGTTGTCCCAACAACAGCATGTGAGCCGCGATTCACTTGAAACTCAAATTACGGATGCATCGGTTGTCGATTTGCTTGTCATCAGCGTTCACGATGGCGACTTGGAATCATCGGCAAAAACAAAATTGGCCAGAGATACGAGACGTTTCATCAATGATAACATGCCGAATACCTTTAAGAAAACCGCGAGATCTTTTTCCATCATATATCTTCCAACTGTTCTGAAAAAGTTTGGTGGCATCGATATCACAGATTTGGATGTCAATCATGTGCTCGGGAGAGTATGCGACCATATGGGCGTTGTTGTGGCCAGGTCGGAACGTGGAGACGATCAGGACACGTCAATTGTTGCAGCTGAAGCTTTTGATGATTACAAATCAAAGTTAAGACGGCGATTTGAGCATTTGGAACCAGATGAAATGTTGGACCAGCTTGTCGCTCAGAGCATCAATCTAGAAAAGCAGAAAATATTGTTGAAGCAGGTCCACGCCAATGCGTGGCGCGCGCGCGCGCCCAATGCCAACATATGGCAGACGAGGTGGCCGCACTTCGACAACCGGTTGGAACCGTCGTCAGCGAATCTACACACAGGACGGGGCTTCGTCGCGTTCCGACGCTGGGCAAATCCAATCTGGCTCTTATCAGGTCTCATGGGCACGTGGCTGCAAACACAGCTTTGGCAATGGTAGCTGGGTCGGCATGGGCAGGCGAACTCAAGGATTACACAATTATTACAACTCAGGATCACAGACTTGCGGCTGGGCAGCGTTTGGCCATGCACCATTTGGCATCAGCAGCCGAGCAAGAACATCAGCAACACAGTCAATCAGCACTCCTTCCAACCAGTGCAAGGGACCGAGAAGCCATCGGCATGCGAGGAAAATTATGTGGGATGGAAGTTGTGACATTCAAAGGCGACGCTACTCATCAAGAGGCATGTGAAAAGTCCAAGATGTATTTGAGCACCGTCGCAACGATGCATTGCAACATCAATGCGATCATGGATGCGCATGCTTTCACTGCTTCTCTCAATGGCGATTCGTGCGAGGACCCTAGGTCGAGCGCTGCGATGCCACCGATTGGCGAGCATGGCCCTTGTCATGGCGCCAACGCATCCGGCACCAACGATGACGAACCGCAAGCTCAGCAAATCAAGGTCGGTTTGGCCGACCACCTGGCCAGCCGAGTTGAGAGCGCTAAAGGTTTCGGCGTTATGCAGAGCGTGGAGCATGGTACTGCCCAGGGGCTTTGGCGTATCGTGCGGAAATCTTTTCAGAGCGTGGGGGTTACCCATCCAGGTGATCGGTCCAATCAATATCAACGCGACCTCCAGCCAGCTCAGAGAGTTCTTCGTGCTTATGCTTTTGGTTTTGATAAGGTGGGCACTGCGTGAAATCGTTGCGTTTGCCTTCGCCCGTGCTTGTCTGCCGCCCACTGGCCCCCTCGCCCCTTCAATATTCCAAGCCTCGCCTCGTTCGTTCGGTTCGGGCCCGATCCACTCGGCTTCGTCGGCGGCATTGCCTTTTCAGGGGGGGTAGCTCTGCAAGCGCGTCAAGAAATCAACAGATCACCCGGGTGACTCCAACCTAAGAC